AATTGTCTCAATCTGCCTGTGCTGTTTCTATTCTTGCAACATTGTAAGTGTTCTACCTCCCTGTATAGAATAGAAACTCTCTAAAAAATTATGATAGCTTTATATGTTTTATAAATAGGTTATAAAATTGAAAAGTCTAGACAGACTCATAGGTATTCTTTGATAACAAAATATCTATTTGTACTATTGACTTTTCCTTGACTTGTTTGTACCTTGAGGAGTAATAGTCTGAAGGCTAGGGCTGAAATGCCTTTATTATTATTAACTGAAAAGCAGAATGAATGCCCTTTGACCTTAAAATATAAAGTAATAACAGCAATGTGAAGAAAGCATATTGTCATTGTTAGTGGAAAATTATATTGATGAAGGTATTAAAAGGTAATATACATTTTTTTTCACAAGATTTTATTAAAGATCAACCTTTATGAAAACAATCCTAAAAGCACCCTTCGGACTTTCTTTGTTATTCTCTTTGTTACCTTTACAAGGTTCTTTCAGCAAGTACCAGTTTTATTTTAAAGTTTTAATCAATATTTCACACAGTGAAATTTTTTTCTTTGACACAATGAGTTATCAAAGTAGTTTTTCTTCCCGAGGCAGCTGCTTTGAGCTGTAACTGACAATAGATCTCATAGATACTGTGTGTCAAGATTAGATCAGATGCCATGGGGATTCCTTTTCATGTTTGTGACTCTTAAATCAGCATAAGCAATACACAAATTCCTCCATTCTAAAGGTGAGTTTTCCTCAGTGGAATGACTATTGCTGATCGTATTTGATTTTCATTACTTCAAAAACAAAATAGAACTGTATAGCTGGAAATCATACCTGAATATATACTTACCTGACACTTTCGTTTTCTCCAAAAACTACAGTAAAATTTTCTCCTTAATATATTGTCTACAGTTTCAATGGTCTATGCAATTAAATCTTTCAAGTAAAATATTAGTCCTCTTTCAATACAAACTCCTTTCTTATATTGAAAAAATAGAAAAAGAAGATGAATTGCCATCTATTCCTGAATATATATCTGTTTGATTTTTATGTTTAATTATAGTTCAAGTTTCTGATTATATTTGTGCCAAGAGAAGGGTCATTCTCCATTAAGACTCTGAGAAAGGTTATGGTATATTGGTTGAGTGCAGCCTGACATTAGACTTTTGTGGGCTTGAATCCTGTCTTTGCCCCTTACTAGCTGTGTGACCTTGGACAAGTTCCTTAAATTCTCTGAGTCTCATTTTCCTTACTTATAACTGTGCCTGACTCACTAGCCAGGAAGAAGGATTTAAATATAATCCACCTAAGAACTTAACCCTGTTCTTGATACATAATGGATGTTTCATACGTATTAGTATCATTATTATTTATGTAGTAAGTGAAAGGAAGAATTTATTTTCACTACATCCCCCCCCCCAATTTTTATGCCTTTGAGTATTTTATTAGCCTTTTTTTTTTGCAATGAAGTCTAAGACGTAAAATAATGTCATTTCCTGAGAGTAGAAAGCAATCGGGGTGTAACTAATTTGACCTTCTAGGGGTAACATTTTACACATGGATTTTCTTAAGCAGTCAATATTCTTTTAATATTATATAGCTTCAGATTTTTATGATTTCAATGTTCTGTGACCAGCCAACCAAAAGTATTCTTAAAGAAAAATGCCAAAGCTGGTAGGTTCCAAGAAAAACGTACAGTGGGCTATGAGGGAAATTTGCTTCCGATTCAGCTAATACAGCATTAGGCTCTGTTAGGGGAGGTAATGGCTGTCTTTATTATTGATGACCATCTGGATGCTTCCCTGCTTCAGAAGAATTGGATAAGTAGAAGATGAAGTCATTTTCTAAAGCTTGGCCCACTGCCTTGCACTCTCTTCTTCACTCTGACCGTTCAGACAGTGGGCACATAATAGCAAGAAAGGAAGTGTGATGCTGACATGAAAAATGGGGTTAATGAACCACGAAGATGAATAATACAAACAAAACCATTTTAGCAAAGTAGAGTTTGCATCTTTTGCTCCATAAACAATAAGCGTACACTCCAGAAATTAGCCAGCTTTTAAAATTTTAATTAATTTGAAATGTTAAGTGGATCGTAGGTATCTACTTCCTTGTTGAAGGCTGCAGGGAAGTTAATCATCAACAGAACTTCTGGGAAAGGGAATTTTACTGCATCCAGGAAATCTCACAGATGGGAAAATTTCATATATGATGTTAGTACTTTTAAGCAGGGTCTAAAACATTCCTTTACATAATCCTGTAATTAAGGCATTCTATGCCATAATTTTCTGCACAACTATTCAGAAAATATTCAAGAGAACTACTGATATCCTAACTACATGAATGATAAAAATATATTTTTAAAAAGTATATGATATAATTATTTGGAGAATTAAGTGTTTATGGAGAAGGACTGAAAGGGTGTTTCAGGTAAGGCCTCCTTCTTCCCCTTGGCTAGACTTATTCCCAGAATTTCTGTTCTATAGGAATTATTATATCCAAATCACACTTTTGTTTTCTGAATAAATGTATTTCTTTAAGGATGTGCAAGTGTATTAGAATAAGCCTCTTTGCCAAGCAAAGGTCCTTAAAACAATGGCTTATTCCTTGTATGCATTACCTCCCCCAGGTGAAAACAGTCAGGTAGGTTATTCCAGATCAGCTCCTATCCCAGAGAAATTTCCCGTTTGATCCTAAAGAAATTATCTAAAAACAAGCTTCCAAGCCAGCGGTAATCAGGAATTAATTAAAACAAAAAGAAAATGTTTAGAAATGCCATTAAAAGCCTGAAAATGGGCAAAACAAAAAAAACAAAAAGTGGACAAAAACAAAAAAACAGCTCCCTTACCGTTTTACCCTCATTTCGATCTGGAGAGTATGTTGGTGTGTTTCTAGTTTATACAGCTTTAGGTGAGCGAGGTGATATCCTTTCATGGGGGCCACATGTTAGTTTATGCCACAGGGGCAGTGCCCACACAGGTGAACAATGCCCTCACTCTGTGATGCTAAAATGTGACTGCCAATCTCCATCTGCAAATCCTCGGTCTCTCTGTGGTACCTGTTCTCAGAGAAATGTTACTAAAGCTTGGAAGTAACCTCTTATAATAGAGCTGTCCTGGAGAAGCTTTTTATCCACCTCACTGACAAGCATATCACATTCTCTTAGTCTAGGAATAACTATCTTTCAACCACAGTCCATCAGCTTCTAAAAATGAAAAAAACAACAACAACAACAACAACAAAAAAAAACCTACCTATGGATCTAGCTCATGTTATGACTCATGTTGGTAAAAGTGAAGAATCTCTATCTTCAGTCCAAAAGGCTAGTTTATAAATATTTAGAATAAATTAGTAAGAGAGACCATAAATGTATAAAATAATCGGATATTCTTTATTGAGAGAGTATTATAATTTTATCTTTAAAAGAAGGGAACCTTCCAGAAATAAGACAGTATCTGATAAAGAGAAATTCTCTGTGGATGGTTTTTAGGGTTTTCCATCCCAGAACACATGTATTGAAGCACACGAGCAACTTCTCTGTATACATACAGCGATATTTCTGTTGGTGTCGGCTATGATGGATTGCTATAGTTTTGCAAAGTCATGCTTTGTGTCTTTATAAAATAAATCATATTTCAAAAAGCCAGTAACTCTTTTTTTTTACATATGCTGACATTATGTGGAGACATGTTACATTAAAGGAATTTTGTATATTATATTCTATTTAGTAATCATATTAGAAGATTCAAGGGTAATATGTGTTTCTTGGTATCTTCCCTTTCTCAATATTTTTTAAGATTTTATTTATTCATTTGAAACACGGAGATACAGAGAGAAAGAGAGCATGAGCAGGGGGAGCTGCAGAGGGAGAGGGAGAAGCAGGCTCCCCGCCCAGCCAGGAGCCCGATGTGGGGCTCAATCCCAGGACCCCAGGACCATGACCCGAGCCAAAGACAGATGCCCAACTATCTGAGCCACCGAGGAACCCCCCTTTCTCAATATTTTAAAAATATGTGCACCCCTGGGTGTTTATGCTAATTCCCTGATGATAAAATATGTGAGAGGCTATAAAAAATGCTAATGTCTATGTAAACGGTGAGTTTCAATCGGTTTGGAGATTTGGAATTTTAATTCCTCTATATGAAAACTGTGGTTGCAGTACATTACTCCTTCTCTGGGTTCCTGCTTCACTGGACAGCTGTCCTAATAATAGTCTAATAGGGAACAGACTGCTTCATGTTTGTCCACTTTCAGGCTTTTAATGGCATTTATAAACATATGCTATTTTGCCATTCTGTTCTCTCTGAGGGCACCAGACTATGAGTTTCTTGTTCATCAGTTTATACCCTAGAGACTCACATGGTTCCAGGCACATGGTGGCTGCTCAAAGCCTAATTTTTTTTTGAAGATTTTATTTATTTATTTGACAGAGAGATAGAAAGAGAGCACAAGTAGGCTGGGTGGCAGGCAGATGCGGAGGGAGAAGCAGGCTCCCCGGAGCAGGGAGCCTGACGCGGGGCTTGATCCCAGGACCCTGGGATCATGACCTGAGCTGAAGGCAGACGCCTAACCGACTGAGCCACCCAGGCGCCCCTCAAAGTCTAATTTTAAATGAATGAGAGAAAGAATGAGTTCCTCCCATTGGCTGATCCCTGAGAGGCTTATGTGTCCACCAGCATGTGAAGAGGTCACTAAAATGAATTTCTTACTGGTTTTGCAGAAGCTACATCTCCCCGGCCTCAATTCCTTAACTGACATCCAAGATGGAATCTTCCTGATCATCTGTCTCCTCTCATCTTCTTAGCAGACACAATTTTGTACTCCCTTTAGCATGGCACATCATTTTTCAGCCTTCCGGGTTCCAAATACTCTGTGATTTCTGAAATCTACATTCTATGATTAACACTCATATAATCACAATCACCGTCTAATCAAAGAAAGTTATCTTCACTTGTTTCCTTTAACTGACAATGGGTCTACCCTTAAACCATCATTTTCCCTTCCAGATGGAGGACTGCAACATCCCACACCCCACCTTCCTCAGTGTTGGTACAAAGATTTGACATTCTCCTCATTTTCTACTTTCAGGTAAGAATTCCTCCATTCTCATGAAATACCTTGCTTCTGTGGCTGTAGACATACTGGAAAAGATTATGTAAGCATATTAGTGGTGCAAATCTCAGCACAATTAAGTTTCTTTCTTTTCCTCTGTAATTTTCTTCATTGTTTGAATTTTTACTAACATGCATGTATTGTTTTACCCCCCAAAGCTGTTTTTTCCTCTTATTTTTACCAGCTTATTGAGATGGAATTACACATGACATTATATAAGTTTAAGGTGCACATGCTGAATCAATCAACCCTTACATTGCAAGATGATTATACCACAGTGTTAACTAACACCTTCATCATGCCATAAAGTTACCATTTCTTTGTGGTGGTGAGAACAGTTAAGATGTACTCTTTTACTGACTTTTCAGGATATAATATAGTATTAGTAACTATAATCACTGTATTGTGCATTAGGTCTTCAGACCTTATTCATCTTATAACTGGAACTTTGCACTCTTTGACCAATACTTCATTTCCCTAACCACCAGCCACTAGTAGCCACCACTCTACTCTGTGTTTCCATGAGTTCAACTTTTTTAGATTCTACATAGAAGTGAAATCAGACAACATTTACTTATTTTTGTCTGACTTATGTCACTCAGCATAATGCCCTCAAGTTTTATCCATGTTGTCACAAATGGCAGGATTTCCTTCTTTCTCATGGCTGAATAATATTCCACTGTATATATACATACCACATCTTTTGTATCCATTTGTTTCTTGGTGGACATTTAAGTTGTTTCCATGTCTTGGCTGTTGTGAATAATGCTTCAGTGAACATGAGAATGCAGATATCACTTTGAGATCCTGTGATCCCTTTTTTTTTTTTTTTAAGGGTTCTGAATCTCTGATTTATTAGACAGCATGGAAATAACAGCTTTAAATTATTTTACAGAAAGAGCTCTAGCTGCTCATAAACAGCAACTGGGCTTTCTGGGGGTAAAAACAATTCTTCGGACTACCACACAAGGACACAAAGACTCCTCATCCTATACAGTCAGCATGAAAGGGCACACAGACAAGTTTTTTGTTCAGACAGAAAACAGAGAAATCCACACACTAAATAAGGTGTCCACAATGACTATAACGCATCCCTTAGGGGATAAGTATGTATTTGTAGGAAGCAAAACAAAGCTTGCCATAGAGAAACCACTTTCACGAGATGATTAGGTGGACTTGGGTTTTGTTTCTGCATCTGTCACTTGGCGAATGAAGATACCATCTTCAGATATGTACCCAGAAGTGGGATTGCTGGATCATATGGTAGTTCTATTTCTAATTTCTTGAGGAACTTCCATTCTGTTTTCTATAGTGGCTGCATCAATTTACATTCCTACCACCACCAAAAGGCACAAGTGTTGCCTTTTCTCTAAATCCTCACCAACACTTATATCTTGTCTTTTTTTATGGTAGCCATTTTACCAGGTGTGAGGTGATAATCCCATTGTGGTTTTGACTTGCATTTCCCTGATTAGTGATATGGAGCACCTTTTCATGTATCTGTTGACCATTTGTATCTTTCCTTTGGAATGAGGTCTGCTCTGTTCCTCTCTTCATTATTTAATTGGATGGTTTGGTCTCTCTCTCTCTCTCTTTTTCTGTTGAGTTATATGAGTTCTTTATACATGTTAGATATTAACCCCTTATCAGATATATGACTTGCAAACATTTTTTCCCATTCCTTAGGTTACCTTTTAATTTTATTGATGGTTTCTTTTGCTGTGCAGAAAATTTTTAGTTTGATGTAGCCCACATATTAATTTTTGCTTTTGTTGCTTGTGCTTTTAGTATCATATCCCCAAAAATTGCTGCCAAGACCAATATCAGGGAGCTTTTCCCCTATGTTTTCTTCCAGAAGTATTACGATTTCAGATTTTATGTTTAAGTCTTTAATCTCTTCTGAGTTAATTCTTGTGAGTGTTGTAAGATAGGGGTCCAGTTTCATTCTTTTTTATGTTGTTATCCAGTTTTTCCACCACCATTTATTGAAGAGACTGTTCTTTCCCTATTGAGTATATTTGGCTCCTGGTCAAATATTAGTTGGCCATATATGAGCAGGCCTACTTCTGGGCCCTCTGTTCCACTGGCCTGTGTGTCTATTTTTATGGCAGTATTATATTGTTTTGATCACTATAGTTCTGTAGTATAGTTGGAAGTCAGGAAGTATGATGCCTTCAGCTTAGTTGTTTTCTCTCGTGGTTGCTTTGCTGTGGCTTTGTCGTGGCTGGACAATCCCCCTGCCCTTCAGGTGTGGACACTTCAGTGGAGGCCAGTGACAGGGTAGGGCTGGGGGCGTGCAGATGCACAGCTGGGGGTGGGTAGCTACAGGGTACTTTGGTGGTATAGGCCAGTGACAGAAGACAGGCAGGGCCTGATCTGAGCCCACAAGCAGCTGAGAACTGCCTGTTCTCCTGTGGCTGCATGTAAGTGCACAGCTGGAGTGCACCCTGGCAAGTGGGGGGAAACCACAGGGTTCTAGGTTGGCTTCTTGCATTCTTGCCATCACAGGGTCTGAGCTAGCTTCCGGTGTGGTTCCTGGGCTCTAGTGGGAACAAATAAGAGGAAGTAAGGGACTGGTGTCAGCAAATGTGAATATCTGTGGAGCAAAAGCTGACGAAATCTTCAGGGCGTCTTCAGCAGCTCTTCTGGCCTTTGGTTCTTTTTCCAGTGACAAAAGTTTCTGCGTTTATCTATAGAACAGGTCACTGTGAACCTCACCCACTCCCACTGCAGAGCTGCTATTGGTAGCCCCTCCTTTTCTTTCTTATTTTTAGATGTTTTTATAGGTCTTAGCTTAGCTGATCTGGGTGGAGTGAAACCAAGTGGGACCTTTGTATGATGTCCCAAAAGGCTGGAGAAGATGGTAGCTCACCTGTTCTTTCTTTCTTCACAAGGAGAACTCATTCTATCTAGGAAGTGCCCTCTTGGCACTGAGCAATGCCAGCTTGGAGAATAAGACGATGCTGCAAGATGAAGCTGTCTTTCTTCTCTGCTTCTGCAGCTATTCTCAGATTTTTGTTCCAATGCATTTCTGAAATTTCTTAAGTGGACTTCAGAGCTCTCCCAAAGCTGATTTTATTCATAGATAGCTGTTTAATTGTTGATCTTTCTTGGAAGATGGAGGCTAGGGTCTCCTACATCTGTCAGTTTGGTAACGTGACTCTCAAAAGAGCTATTTTTAAATAATGTCTAGCTTATGCTATTACACTATACAATCTTCTACATATTCACTACCTTGCCTTGCCACCAGCAACCACAATTCTTGAAGGCTCTAGAAGATTATTGAAGACTCTCCATCTTCCTTGCTACTTCTATTTCTAACATTATAGTAGGTAACTTCAGTAGCCACATGGCAGATCCAATCAGTATTCTAGCTTTACAAACCCTTAATCTCATCTTCAGTGATAGTCATCTCCCTTCCACTCCAGTTGCACATTTTCTAAGGCCAAAGATCTTCTCACCTCAACTTCATCTCTGAAATTGTAAATTCAACTATCGCATGACTTTATACAGTCTTCTCTCTTTCTATCTTTCTTGCTCAGTAGTCATTGGTTAGACCTGATATTTGATACCAACAAAACATCCTGATCTTTTATCTTTCTCCTCTGTCTGACTAGCTCTTTCTACTGCACAAAATCTGGAGCCAGGTTATCTGAGTTAGGGTCCAAGATCTTCAGATGGTCTTCTATCATCATAATTATTAGTAGAATTATATTTCTATTGTTATATTCAACCTGTATTTTCCCCAAATTTTCAATTATTTTACCGTATTTTCTCCATCATAGTACCTGGGAAACCTTAATCCTGCATCAGTCCCAACTAACCTATCTAAAGCTGTTAAAGGAATTGCACTAGATTAGTGGTAGATGATTGTCAGTATAAATTATCATCTCTACATTACCTAGGTCCCAGTAATGCCCAGAAACCTTACTCTACTTTCTCTGGCATTGCTGTCAGCAATTGTTTCAAAACTCTGCTCTACAATATCTGAACATCAGTAGTATCAGTAGTATCTCCCTGTTTTGACTTTATATGTGTTTAAGTGTTAGTGTTTATAAGTTCAAATATGTTTTGTATATGCTTATGCACCTGTTTGTGTGTGGATTTCTATGTATGTAGTGCAGTTTGTTATTGTCATCAAGCTTATAAACCTGGCAGTATCCACAGTTTTTCTTCTTTCATTCTGTCACACGAGGAGAGTTTATCCCACTGCTAAGATGAATCCCTCCATTTGAACACAGAATCTTATTACTTTCCTTCCCTCAGGAACCCTATGTTAACACAAAGTTCCTAAGGAATTCTATTTCTTTAGGCAATTAACAAGTATTGTATAAGAAATCATGCTCCTTGATCAAATTGGTTTGGGGAAATACCAAAAATCATAAAATCAAGCAGATCTGACACAAAATTAGGAAAGGCTGTATTAAAGGCCATCATATATATATATATGAGGAATGTCCCAAAGGGCAGGTAACATAGCATTACCCAGACTTAGAATGTGAATCAAGGAACATTATCACAAGAATATTACCACCCCACCCTTGCTCTTTAGCTTTTCCATTTCTACTGCCAGGTGAGATGTCCTAATTTTCTAATGCAAAAGAACAAATGGTTTGCCAACTTTTCTCCTCTCTTGGCAATTTTCTCTCTCTCCACTTACAGTCAAATTCCACAAAAGAGGTGGGACTTTCACTGTTCCCAAACCTTCCGTAATTCACTTTTATCTCCACTGTTCAGGTCCCCACAGATGCTGCCATACCTTGTAGGAGCTTCTGATGTTTCTTTCCCAACTTTTTAAAATATTCCTTCCTCTAGAATGTTTTGCCTGCATTTCGCTCCTCAATAACCTTTGGCAATTCTTCTTTCTGTTTTTACACTTGTATGAGAATGTTCCTTGAGTTTTTATTGTAAGTGATCCTCTCTCCTCCAATTAGATGCTTTCTATTTATTTGGATCTTTCATTATTTCCCAAGGCT